AAGATATATATATAAAGATATAAAGATATATATATAAAGATATATATAAAGATATATATATATAAAGATATATACATGAGTAATAAGTCAAAATCAGTAGCTCTCTACTAAGGGTAATTTTCCCTCTGGGGGATATTTAAGAATTTATGAAACTTTTTTTTTAAGAGAAAAAAAAACCAAAAACAAAACAACACAGAAACTATAAAAATGATACAGAATTTCAAAACAAGATGGTAGGAAATCAGCAATGGTTATTGTATTATTTATTGTTATCTTCAAAGTTGTTATTCCAATTACCAGATATAGGTATGTAAGATTGATGAAACAATTAAACATTAACTGTTTCTTTCAATAAACAGGTAGAAATTAGTAGTACAATTATCTTAGCTATCTTGTGTGTATACATTTTTTTTGCCTTTCCTTCTTTCCTTCTTTTCTCCTTTCCCTCATCCCAGTTATTCTTTCCTATGGAACAGTTTCTTTGCCTTTCACAATATCTATTGTACCTTTCAGATTTTATTTACACTTTTAAGTTCCTACACTAGAGAGAAAATACAGTGTTTACACATGCAGATCTGATTAATTTCACTTATGAGTATGGTTTCTAGTTGCATCCATTTACCTATAAAAGCCTCAAGTTTATTTTTCTTTATAACTAAGTAATACTCCATTGTATAAAAATACCACATCTTTTTATGCACGCCTTAGCTGATGGGTGTTTGGGTTGTTTCCACGATTTTGTGCCCTTCTTCAACTTTGGTGACAATGTAGACTGGTGCAACCACTTTGGAAATCAGTCTGGAGATACCTCAAAAATTAAGATTGGAGGTCCAATTTAACCCAGCTATTCCCCTTCTCCGTATTTTCCCAGAAGAATTAACATCATACTACAGCGATATATGTGCACCCATGTTTGTAGCAGCACAATTTGTTGCAGGAAATTTTTTTTTTACAACTGGTGCTACCAGTTTCTTATTGGTGCATGTCAGGGATCCTGGTAAACATGCTGCAACATGCAACACAGACAGTGTTTTTCCCATAACAAGGGGTGAGCAGGCCCCCACATCAGTATGACTGAAGGTAAGAAACTCTGGCCTACTTCACGAACTTATGCTGAGCAAATAAATCCTACAGATCTTGAAATATCAAAATAATAAATATTATAATGGCAAGCTGAAGACTATATCTTTATGTAAACCTGCAAATAAATGTTGGGCAATGGATGACACAGAAAGCACAGACACTGCCTTCGTGAGGGGGTCTATGTGTGTGTGGCCACTCACACACACTCACTTGTACACAGAGCCAGAGGGCTGGGTTTCAGCCAGCACACGTAAGATTTTGTGCACAGCCGACCCCAACATGGAAGGCTGGAGGCGTTATCTCGTGCCTTCAAGAGCAGGTGACCAGTTTCTGGCCCAGAGCTAAAGGATTCCATCAGCTTCCACATGGGAAGCACAAACTTTGTCCCCAAGGAAGTAGCAACTGGATTCCTCCCTTTAGATGCCATTTCTTAAGAAAGGGACATTGGCGGGATGCCACTTTTTTCAGAGGATACTGCAACATCTGGACCTGGCAAGGGCTGTGACCCCAGCAGTGACTCTGTACCTGTGCTGAGCACAGCCAGCCCCAGGACCAACCTGACACAAACTGGTGAGAAGACTTGGACTGGTGTCAGCTCTCAGGCACAGAGCTATCTGGTTCTGAAGGTACCTTGCCACACTGCCGGGTGAGAGTGATAAGTTTTTTGATGGCCAAATTACTTGGAGTTATCTGTAGCTAAATGCATTCCTTTACACACTGTCTGAAAATGTCATGAAATACTAGTAATTTGTTTTAGAATACACAATACAGAAGTTAAGCAGGAAAGCCTATGAGTTCGCATACACCTATGACTCAGGGTCACATATCCTAGATTTCAAGCACACACAGGAAAAAAACACCAAAATGTCGATGAATGTTCACATCAACAATAGACCTGTTATCAGGGTGTATAGTATTGGTAAGATCACATGCTAACACCAAAGAGCCAGGCAATGCTCATTAATATTCAACCAGTTACTTTTGATTTTTTATAGAAAATGAAGTTTGTTTTTCTTTAGCAAGTGTGACCGTTTGTACGCCAGCAACAAATAACTAGGTGTCACAAACACAGGAGCTGCGACAGTGGGTGTGAGTGCAGTGCTTACCATTGAGCCACTTGGAGTTGTACTGCGCGGTGCGGAGCGGGGGTAAAATGCCCAGACTTCGGTAAATGGCAGGGTCTCGCCCTGGAAAGTCCATGGCTGTTGCAGCATAGAGCTCCCCGCTGGCTGTGAGGAGGGCTGTGGAATTGTGCTGGGGACTGTAGGGACAGCGGGCCATGCCACTGATCTGATCATGGATCTCAGTGAGGTTACTCAGCTGTGAGTGGAGAGGAGAGGGAAATGAATTATCCTCTGAGAAGCCCCTTTGAAGGCACTAATGGATTACATCTTTCACAATCACTGGAGAAGTGTAGACCATAAACTCTCTGGGGCACGTAAGAGACGAGAAACTTTCGCACTCAGACTTTATGAAAACAGCCCACTGTGGTCCTGGCTAGAGAATCCATCAATCACTCTGTCTGCCCCATCCCTAAAGACTTCATGAATCTCATGCTATTGAATGCTTACAAAGGATGAAGTAAGATTACTCTAGATATGGCTTTGATTTATAATGCATGACTATTGCCTACTATTCACTTTAGTAAAGAGTCCAAGTTCGATATTTACAGATATATAAATCATAATAAAAATTATTGTACAACTTTATCAATGTGAGTGAATCAGAAGATTAAGAATGGCTTTAAATGCTGACCCCACACATAAGGATATGTGCATATTCAAAAGCATTGTAGAGCACACTATGTATATATACATATTTTTGTTTATTTCAGGTTTGAGAGACCCACTTAGCATTATATAGCCATGCGATACTCTTCCAATCATTAGAGTTAAACCAGTTACATTGGACTTGTTTAGAAAATGAAGGTTTTGTTTCTCCTTAGCAAGTGTGATGGTTTACTTACCATCAACAAATAACTAGTTATAAACATATGAGCCTGGACCCTGCGTGTGACTGAGGGCCACTTAGGTGTCCCGTGGTCATCTTGCATGAATACTGCTTCCTAACTGTGGGATTCTCAACCACTCATACAATGAGAAAAGCTCTCTGGGTACTGGAAGATCTGGGCACAAATCAGTTTTGTGCTCCCGACTTCAGTGAACCCTGCAGACGTTAGGCGGTTGGATACAGACACTGTTCACTTTGTTGTTGCATACAGAGCTCAGGGAAGTGACTTCAGCTCCTCAGGTCTCGTTTTTCTTCTATTAAGGAAGGGTCTAAAGAGTAAGACCCTCATGGGAAGATGCTAAGCACTGAATGACTGCGTTGATATCAAGTGGTAAGAGCAGAGTATGAACCCAGGAGCTGGGAGTGGCATCCCTCCTCCTCCTCCTCCCCCTTTTTTCCCATAACTGAGCATTAACTTGAAAATAATGATTAGTAACAACAGATGATAAATTAAGGTTATGAGCCAAGTTGTGCTACTAGGAAATTAACATAATGGCATTTCCCCATTACATTCCCCAAGGCAGATTAAATTAATATCCTGAGTTAAGAAGATCAGACAGGAGCCTGATGACCCTGGCGTGCTACTGCAAAAGGATGTGTGTACTGAAAATTCCACTATGACAACACATTAAAGAAAAGAGGATCAGCTATAGCTTTGCTTTGTTTATGGCTGTATTTCTTTTGGTGTACTTTTTGATATGCTTCTCATCCAATTTGTAGCTTACATTTTCTTTCAATGGACTGTGATTTTGTACCATCTTAATACTTGATAGTAACTCTACCATAAAGCTCAGTACAAGAATATAATATATTTATGATTAGTGGTTGGGCTCACTAGGGAAAATGCTGATTGAAATAGTTTAGAAACATTTAAATGTAATTATGTAAGCTATTATTATTTCCAGGTCCTTATATAAATGATTAGAGATGAATTAATAAATTACTCAATTTTTTAAAAGTTGTTCTAAATTAAAAAGCAACTCCTTGATATACAGAGATGCATTGAAAACTAAGGTTTGAAAAGTACATTTGGCTTCTCCTCATGTTAAGTTCCTCTGAGGCTCAAAATGAAGCCATACCGAGCGGTTGGTGCACACAGGTGTGAAAGCGTTGGTCCCACAGGTGAATAACCGGTCGCCACCCACCAAAAGCACCCGGATGTAGTTCTGGCACTCCTCCTGGAGAAAAATAAAATCATAAGAAACAGGTTAGCAAGGCCCGAGACAAGAGACATGGTGAGTCATAGTACATTTTGGCTGGCTAATAAAAAATAAATAATGAAGCCTCTCTGATGTTGACCAAAAAAAAAACAGAGCTGTTAATTATGTCAAACCGACTTTCTGTAGCTGCACACTTGTTCAATAGAGCACATGCATGTAGAAAACATCACATTCAGATAAATCCTCAAACCACATGCCTTCTTTTAACATGGATTCATTTTGAATTGTAGAGCAAACTTTAAATTTTCTTGCACATGTATTAGGAAAATAAAATGAACAAATTAGATGCTGCTCAAGAAACAGTGCCTTGGCAAACTTCCTCAGGACTTCATGAAAACATTGCAGATGCTTCCCCACTAAGATCTTGTGAAACTGTCTACTGATTGGAATTCCTTTTCAAGGACTCAAACTCCATTAGTTACACAGACAATATCTACAGATAATTTTCATTGTTGATTGAAAAGTGCAGATACAAGGACTAGTATAAGGAAACGCTTTCCAAGACATATAAGTCAAAGCCCAATACTGAAAGGAGGGCAAAGCATTCAAAGAAGATTGGAGAGGTGGCCACTGCAATGACAGGCAAGGAGGTATGTCACAAAGCTCCTCATCAATGGGACTGATGACCACCTACTCTTTGGTAGGTGCAGTGATAGAAGTCATAATGTAGACAGAAAAATTAAAATTAAGGGCCAAGGCATTTCCTGTGGATCTGTGCATATGCATAGTGGGGAGTCATGGAGGAAGGACCTACTACCCAGCTCCGAAGGGAAATGGCAGGGAGGAGGTGAGGGAGCGTACCGGGATGAGTCGATGCTTCTGATTCTGATTCCCTTTAAAGAAAGGGCAAGATTTAGTGAGGCTTTCTGCGGCTGCTCATTGGATGCATGCAGGACTTTACTGAGTAAAGGAAGGGAAAACAGTCAGGCCAAGGGAGGGGACCACACCAAGGCACGGAGGCAGAGAAAGCATGACACCTTCACTGAGCACAGAAGAGTCCCAGCGTAAGCTGGGTGGGCCCGGGAGCAAGTTTGTGCTAGGCTCTCAATGCGAGGGGAAGAAAGCAATAAATGTTTTCACTGCATAAAGTTTTACATCTATCTCATGTTTGTCATGAATGGACCACTCAGGAAAGAACGTAGAACATAAGCTGGACATGGGGAAAACGGAGTGCTGGAGCAGGGCAGGGAGACCACTTTCATAATTCCGGCTCTTGGCATGCGCAGACCAGGGAAAGCTAGGTATGAAAAGACAAAGCCAGAACCCAGCAAACTGACAAGCCCAGGGAAGTGGGCCTGAGGGAGGCTCCATGATGTTAGGGTTATCTGAAGCACAGCAAGCAGAAAATGTGGCCAATCTGGATTCCATGAGACAATAGCCCTCTCAACCTCCAGCAAAGCCCGGTCTTAATGACAACGCGGATGGGCACCCCCAAGTCTAATGCACAGCCGAGCTCTGAGAATGCAAGGTGCTCAGATGTCGGAATTTGCTTTCTAAATGAGAAATGAGGTGTCAAAGGTAGATATGTCCCCTAACGGCATCACTAATCCTGACAGCAGCAGATCATTGTTGACTGCTAAGGTGAGAAAGAAAATACCCAGTGCAGTCTAAGTTAACTACCAGAAGAATTCAGAAGTATAAATGGGACAGTACGTGGGGTAGCAGAGGAAGGTACCAGCGCTGAAGAAGCTCACTTTGTTTTGTTTTGTTCTATGGTGTTTTTATAAGTCAGAGGGTAAAGAATTAAATGAAAGACTTCCAAGAACCATGCAGCTAGCCCTGTCCTAGTGGACACCAAGGAAGGGCAGCAGAACCCCACTGTGGGGGCAGAGACCCAGGGGTTTTCAAGCTCGAGGTCAAAGTGAGGAGAACAGGGTATGCTCATTGGTCATAATGGGTGACACAGACGTGATAATGACACGGTACTAAAGAGGGGCGTGGAAAATCACAAACAGAGCAGAAGGGTGGACATTTGATTTGTTTCTGTTACTGCTTTAAAACTTTTTCAAAAACAGGACAGGATGTACAGGAACTCTTTCTATATATTTTTTTAAGCCAGAGGCAGCCACAAGGTATAAACTCACCAGAGGCAGCCACTTTATCATGAGCAACACAGTTAAGGATAAATTATTCCCCAAGAATCATCTGGATTGAAAAGATAGGATCAAAGCTGATTTCTACAGACCTGGAGAAGAGACGGCAAGGGCTGCTAGTCAATCATGAAAGGGGGAGCAATCAAGATAGCACAAGGGGTGTCGATCTTAATCTCCGACAGAAGAACAAAGTACAAATGAGAGTGCAGACTGGAGTGGTCCCGGGACCCATCGCAGCCTGCGGGACAGAGGGCTGGTTGGGCTGTGCGATAAGCAGGATGCAGCAGCGTGCACGCTGGAAAGGCAGGGTGAGGGAAACTGGTCATTTAAAAAAAAAAATCAGAGAAATAGGACAACGAGGGGACACAGTTATTTGGACTACAGAAGAGGATGAAGGAGTGTGTTCTAATAACGAGGCCATCACCAGAATGACGCAGCTGCTGCCTCTGATCCGCTTCCCTGAGCTGAATGTCCAGAAGGAAGGAAAGCGATCCATGCTAGTAAGCAGGGCAGCCCGACAAGGAGGCCAGCGCGGTGTCTCTCTAAAAGGATGGGGCCGGATGCAGCCCTAAGCAGCCCAGAGGAGTCTGCGAAGAACAGAACCTAACAGGAGTAAAGGGTCACGTTCTCGGTGAACTTGGTCACCAGGAGATCAGTGGAAGACAGTGGAGGAGCACCCGGAGGACAGCCCAGCATGGCCCTGAGGCCCGGCCAACAGGTTATCAGGCACAGGTCCTTCCAGAACAACCGCGGAGCAAGGGGTGCAGCTGGTGCCTTCAAGCTCAGTCTCCAAACTCACCCAGCTCTGTGGACCCGCTCCGCCCCGTACATCCTGGGCTAACTCGCTGGAAATTCTCTTGGGTTTAATACACAAACTGCTTCCCTGGTTCTAGGAGAAGACTGGGTGTGAATCCTACACACACACACACACACACACACACACACACACACACATCTAAATTAATGACCAACTTGTTTTAAAGAGAGATTAATTCAAGCCAAATAGAATGCAAAGCTGAAAATGACGGAAATGGGAGTGTTTAGCTTTTCAACACAAGATAAACTTAAGAGCTGGAGAGTCAAAATTAGGGATGAAAGAAAACGGCATCGAGTGCCAGGCTTTTGTAATAATTATTCTCCTTTTGATGGTGATTCGAACACTCCAATTCTCCTGTAGAAAATCACCTGGCAAATTGCTTTGTTAATTCCTGCTACAGACTCAGCCTTTTCTTGGCTTATCTGAACTTGCTTGAAGTACTGCTAAGAATCACCACTTTGAAATAGGGGCTCAATCTCTATGGAAGTCCTCTTAGGAGATTCTGCTAAAGGTTTCTCTTACAAATCAGCATATTTCAATGTCCCTGATTTTCCTATTCTCATTTATAAATTTTTCCTTCTCTTCCATTTCTACCCCTTGAAAACTGTGCTCAGGCACTGGTTCTCCAAGAAGCCACAATGCACAGCTCCAAGGCCCACACAGCCCGCTGCCCCATGGCTGTTGCAGTTACTAAGGAGAGTCGTCTATCTGCATTTGGATGACACCATTGGGAAATTAAAACAGCCCACGTGTGCCTGTGATCCTTGTGGAGGCCAGCTTGTCCTTGACTTCCAGACACAGTCTATTTGAGTTGATAGCCAAGAGGCACGGTTCCTGACTCACAGAAAGGGCTTGGGGCCAGCCAAGGTCCCCTTTGTTTCAAGGACACAGGGCCCCAGGAGAGAAAGTGTAAGTTTTAGTGCCATTTTCTTCATGAGTTAACTGGTTTTCCTTTATAGATTTTCATATTTTTTTTTTCTTTTCCCAACAGGTCTCTTCTGCTTAGGAAAAGATGGCAGGAGACACAGTTGACTTCTTCGGGTGTGCTCGGTGGCACCCTGGCCATTGACCCACCTGTCCCGTTAGGGAGAAGAAAGGAGCTGGCAGCTAGGCAGGCTTATGTGGACCACAGCTTCCTCACAACAGTGCACTTATCAGGACTGCAGGAGCCTTTTACCCAACCAAAATCACAGTTCCTAGTTGACACTTGAAAACCCTATCATTCCATCAGATGTACATATGTGTGCAAAAATTAAGTCTACATTTCCATCCAAATGGAAATGCAGTACTGTGGTCCCTCAGCATCTATGGGGGCCGATCCCAGGACTTCCTTGCATGACCGTAACGGAGGATGCCCAAGTCCCTCTGTAAAATTTGCAAACAACAAGCACACATCTTCCTGGGTATTTTCAGCTGTCTTCAGATCATTTCTAATACCTAAAACAATGTAAATGGTATGGAAACAGTTGTCTTCCTCAGGAAATAAGGACTGGGAAAACTCTGCACGTGTTTGGTACAGATATAGATTTATATTTATTTATATATAAATATAGGGAGACAGATAAATATGGAGACACTTTTATATCATTGGTATACACTATGTAATGTATAGTGAAATTCTACATTAAATATACTATATTTATTTACATACTATATTCAATCAAACTTCATGCTAAAATTTGAGTACTTCTTTAGAAAAAAATTCAATGTGCAAATCTGCATGGGATGTTAATATTAGATCTAACTAAAGATCTAAGTATCTAATTTTTAAAGCAATTTCAAAGGCCCATCCACAGTGTGCCCTATGCAGTGATTAACTCACAGCTTTCAAACACTGATACTCGAGGTGCAAATGGCAAGACCTCGGACTCCTCCACAAAGGCAGTGGAGGGGTGCCCTGTTCTCCTTCTTTGTCACTAAGAGATTGCCTCTTCGCTAGCATGCAAGGACAATAGCAGGAACAGGACACAGCAGGAAGAAGAATACACAGAGCCCTGGATTCTAATCAAAACACTCCCACTAGCCAGCAAAATAATTCTAGGAACTTA